TGCCTCTTCTGCCCTTGCCTATCCACCACCCCCTTCCTATCCATCTCCCAAGCCTGCCACAGACCCAGGCCTCTTCCCCATGATCCCAGACTACCCAGGCTTCTTTCCGCCTCAGTGCCAGCGGGACCTTCATGGTGCGGGGGGCCCAGACCGAAAGCCATTCTCCTGTCCTCTGGATTCTCTCCGGGTCCCACCACCACTTACCCCACTCTCCACCATCCGTAACTTTACTCTGGGAGGCCCCAGTGCTGGGGCCACTGGGCCTGGGGGCAGTAGTGGCAGTGACGGGGGTCCCCGACTCTCTGGGAGTGCTGCAGCTGCTGCTGCCTACAACCCTCACCACTTGCCACTTCGTCCTATACTTCGCCCACGAAAGTACCCGAACCGGCCCAGCAAGACTCCGGTTCATGAACGCCCATACCCGTGCCCGGCCGAAGGCTGTGACCGGCGCTTCTCCAGAAGTGACGAACTGACCAGACACATCCGAATCCACACTGGCCACAAGCCCTTCCAGTGTAGGATCTGCATGCGGAACTTTAGCCGCAGTGACCACCTCACCACCCACATTCGCACCCACACCGGGGAGAAGCCCTTTGCTTGTGACTACTGCGGCAGAAAGTTTGCCCGCAGTGACGAACGGAAACGTCACACCAAGATCCATCTCCGGCAGAAGGAGAGGAAGGGCAGTGCCCCTTCATCCTCAGGGCCAGGGGCCTCTTCCACCTCCTGCCCAGGGGGGACCCAGTCTGGGGGGGCCTTGGGCAGCAGCAGTGGCAGCAGCATTCTGGGTGGGGGTCCCCTGACCTCTTGCGCCTCTCGGACCCGAACACCTTGAGTACAGACTCTTGACCTGACCAGCTCCTCGAGGGTCCACAAGGCCCTTTTCCAACCCAAACTGCACAAACACTACCACTGGCTCCTCACCCCTCCCTTCGAAGCTGGAAGGGTCTGGGGGGGTGGGGACCCTATCACTGCTCCCCTTTCAGCTGAGAAGCAGGTCCTTCCTGAAGCTGGGCTCATTTTGGTCTCTAAGATGAGGTGACTCTGACTGGGGGTTACAGGGAAGGATCGATCTCAAGGGGCTGGAATGAGGATCCCTGCCCTGCAGAAGCTGGGGTTTTCTACCCTCCTTTCCAAAGGGTTGTTGGACTGGAGTTTTTACTCCCTGCCCCCCTCCCTCCACTCCCTTTTGCTTTGATGTATCCATGACAGTATCTTGACTCTGGGCATTGGAGTTGATCTGGGACCCCATGAAAGTAGGTTGGGAGATGCTGATGCCTTAGAGAAGTGGGCTCAGCCCAAGGCCCCAAACTGATGTGCACTTTATCTTAGCATGGTGGCTGCTTTGGGGGGGGGGGGCTGAACAATGAGCCAAGCACAGACTCGAAATCGAATTCTGGGAGCCTCCAACAGTGGTCAGAGCTCATTCCAGCCCTGTAAGCAATATGTAGTGTAAGCTAACCTAGAGAAGAGAAGTGCAATCTGGTGAGATAGACTTGGCAGTGATGCTTTTTCAGTAGTTTGAAATTGTAAATGGCTATTTTTTCAGTGTATATTCACTCAGATATTAGTGTTATTTTTTTTTTTTTATGTGCACTGTTCTTCAAGATCTCAACTTTTGGGAAAGAAAAAGGGAAGTGTTTATGATCTATTGAAACCAGAATCAGAGTATAACTTATTTAAAGGGGGATGTACATATATTCTCTAAAACTAGGATGCATGCAATTATGTGGACGTGTCCTCGGTGCCTTGTGTGATGTAGACAATGTTGCAGTGTCTGCATGTAAATGGGTTGCCTTATTAATTACTGAAAAATCACTCCCTGGTTTTAGTATGCCTGTACATTTCTGCCTATTAATATTGGGATTTTTTTTTTAGAAACTATATTTTTGTACACTGTTTTGTGACTTTAAAGTGTTAATTTTGGAGTAAAATGTCAAATACAGATGTAAATAACATTACAAGAGCTGACTCCACTGGTTATAAGCTCTCGATAGCTGTGGAGTTATAAATTGTTTATCACCATAATGCACAGCCAGTAACTGGAATTTGGATGATGGATGGTTTGTGATCCTAGTGTAAATAAATACTTTTCAACAATAGCTTTGCTGCACAAATCTTTTATGAAAGATAACAGAGAAGTGGAGGTGGTAGAGGTTGGTGGGGGAGGGTTACTTTAGTAAATATTTTCTTCTTTAGCCTCCCTTTGTCTTGGGGTTATTCGTGCTTTAGACAGACTTTTTTTTTGGTGAAGGCCCAAAGCAGATTTCTCTTATGAGGTTTATGAACTAGCTTTTTCCCCAAAATAGTGAAATTGCTGAGCCCAGCCTAAGACCCCAAAGTTTTCCTTTCCAGGACGTAAGTGCCCTCTAACCCCCAAGTAATCTCCATTCATAATCAAGTGTTAGGGCTGTGGGTATTTCCCCTATGTATTAGTGTCAAAACGGGGAGGCGGCGTTTTGACTCATTGTTCCGTCCTTTAAAACAGTTCCCTGCCTGAGTGGGCCCCGGAAAATAAATACTTACAAACAAGTGCCCACTCCATTGGAGACACTTTCAAAACCATGATCCTCTAGAGGCTGGAGCTCAGAGATGCACCTTTGTGGAAAGTGTTGTGGGGAGGGCAGGCTGGAAACAACTTTCAGTTTCCAGGATTAAGCTTTCACAACCACAGAAAACTTTTTTTGAAAAATGCTTATCTCCTATTTAGATCAGAATGCGCTCAGACACTGCTGGTGACTGCATCAGTGGGCTGCCACAGGAATTACCCCAGGACTCATTTCTCTCCGTCTTTCAGTTCAATTAATTACATTGTCTGGTCCTATCGCCGCGGTAGAGGGGGAAAACGGAGGCTTCAGAGAGACTGACTGGCCCAAGGTCATATAGGTTAATGGGGCTCTGGGAGGAGTAGCAAAGTAATTAGTACCCAGCGGATATTACAGGTGTGTGCCTTTAGGAAAACCACAAACACACACACACACACACACACACACACACGCACACAACAAACAAAAACAAACAAAAAAACCCCCCAAGATTTGAACCCATTAGGGGTGGTATTCATATTGCTAAAGAACTCTTTGCCATTCAAAAGGATTCACCAAAGTGTTTCATTAAATTGGGGACTTCCTAGTGAATTTTAAATACAACTCCCATTTCCAAAAATATCAGTTTACAGTATGTTTTCACAAACAAGTAATTTGGTCAAAGACTCTACTATCGCTGTTCCAAGTCTGCGACCATTATCGGCCAAATAACTTGAATTCACATTTTAGTCCATCTTAACTGCATTCCTGAAGGGATGGATGGGAGTCAGGAATTTCTACAAACTAGTCCAGCAACACAATCCGTTGAAACAGGGTTTCCCGATGTGCCCCCCCTTCCTTGGCAGGCCCCCTTAGGATGATTGGGTGTCACTCCCCTGGTGGCTTGGAGGGTAACCTGTACGTGGAATACTTTCCCAGTGGGAGAGACAACTGAAACCTACCTGCCACCTTTGCACTCTGCCTACTGGCCTCTCCTTTCTCCTGCCTCTTTGGTACTTTGATCCTGCCTTCATTTTTCCCCAAATAAAGCCGTGTTTTTTCTATGACAACTAACTTAGGACTACAAAATGAGTCTGCTATGATTTTACCAAATAATTAGGGCACACAATTTCAGTCTATGCAGGCAAGTGTAATCAAAAGAAAACTTTAAAATTTGCAAATAGGTAAAAAAAAAAACCACAGAAGTGATTCCAACACTCACATCAGGCTAATGTATAAGTTTGAATTAATTTTGAATGTAACAGTCTCATTTCTCATTGAGCTTTTTGATACTTTCTTTTTTTTATTTTTTTGGCTAGGCAATGGGATTAAGTGACTTGCCCAGGGTCACATAGCTAGTGTTATGTGTCTGAGGCCATATTTGAACTCAGGTCCTCTTGAATACATGGCTGGTGCTCTATCCATTGCACCACCTAGCTGCCCCCAACAAATTGGTACTCCTTTTTAAAAATTTTTTTGTCATTGAGCTTTTTTGAGAATATACTTCAAGGTCTTCCCTCCCATACATACATACACATACACACTTAAAGGCACTTTTTCAAATTTTCTAATTACAATCTACGTGGTCATTATCTTGAATCACATTTGACTTTCATGGGAGTACGTAATCCTTACTTGGATTTTGGATTCTATTGAGCTTTTAAAGACTACATTTAAAGATGACTTTTTTTTTGCCAACCTATAAATGTTTTATTGAATATGATTGCTGATGTATTCCTGTTGCTACTGGGATGTACTTATTAAAAAGTAGCTTCCAGACAGTAACCCCTTAGAGGTTCATAATGCTCAGGAGATTGTTCAGTGCACATGAAGAACCCACCCATTAAAGAAACTTAAAAGCTTTGAAGAGTTGAAACCAGTGTGCTCTTTTATTTCAGCATCCCAACAGCTGGGGAAAAGGGAAGAAATTAAACCGGCATGTAAATATTCACACTAGTATGCCAGCTGATGGCCATTTTAAGGGAACTAGGGGGAGGGAGTGGGGAGGATGGTCAGCATTAAACACACTGTGTTGCTGGAGATGCTAAGAGGCTGAGTGGTCCCTGAACAAGTGCAGCACAGGATGAAATACAAGAAGAGGAAAGAAACTTAAGCCAGTTTCTTTCTTCAATGATACACAGATTTCTTGTTAAATAGAGAAAGAGTTTTGTCTGTTGAGGCAAATATTGTGCTTTTAAATTGCGGTTTCAGCTGCTTTCCATCTGATGTCTTAAAGGTACATAGAGCTTGAAGGATCCACTACATGTGTTTGCTGAAGTTGCTATTACTTGGGCAGGAGAAACGGTTTCCCACATAAAGTAATCATTTCTGGTATATGCGAAGGGTTCTTAACCTGGTGTCCATGAATTTAAATTTTTCTGTTGTTAATTAATTCAATATAATTGGCTTCCTTTGTAATACTGTGTATCTTATGCATTCAAAAACATTATTCTGAGGAATCCAAGACAAAAAAGGTTAAGAACCCTTGGTCCAGGCAATCTTTAATAAGCAATTGAAATGTACAAGTTGAACATTTTACACCTCTATTTTCCAAAAGATACAGTGAACACTTAAATCCAGAAACTCCAAATGGTCCCATCAGAAGCAGCAGAATCTACGCTGGGCTTAGCAAAGTTTTTGTGTTTGACACCAGATGCCTCAGTGTATTCTAAATAATCAGTCTCTCTAGTCTGTCACCTCTTTCTTGAAATGGTTGGACACTCCAAGTTCTTGTTCCTAGATCAAGTGGAGTAGGATCACCCTTCCAATGTTTGATCACAGTGGAACATCCGAGGCTAAAAGGTTCTAAGTTAAACATATACTGCCTTCCTCTCTGGGCAGCAGAACTAGTACAAGTCACAGAACCACCGGGAATGGATCAGCAAGGACTGGATTCTTCCAAAGCCGACATGACTAAGGCAGCTTTAAGGAAAACGAATGTAAAAGAAGGATAAAACAGGTGGACTTAAGGAAGTTACAGCTCTTAATGTAATGTTCAAGGAATCCACCCTATGGAGAACACGCAGGCTACTTGAATATACTGGCACTTTCATTAATAAATAGCAAACAGGCAACATTTTAATCCATGCAAAGCATACTTATTAAAAACAGTTACTACTCAAGGGGGAAAAAAGAGCATCAGAAACATTTATATTGAATTACTTCTCACCCGTAAGAGGAAATTATTGCATTTTTTGTATTAAATAGAAAAACATTTAATGATTCATTTCAGTGTGCTCATTAGTCTCTTATATTTTAATAAACAAGAAAACACCCTATGTTCTTAGGAGTAGGTGTAGTCCTCAAAACCACATTAAGTCATCTCTCTGTCTGGTTGTTAAACAGTCCATGTGATGGAGGGAGCATGACATAGCAGCATCTGGAGTCAGTTCAGTGCATCAAGGTGCCAGCTGAATCCTTTGGCCCTTTGCTCCCTGGTCCTGAAGCCTTCGAGCAGGGAGGGATTCTCTTCCTCAATGGCTTGCTCAAGTCCTAGTAAGCTCTAGAAAAGGTGCCTTTTGTTGTCATCACTGCTGACCTCTCCTGCTCAGAGAACGCAAGGCAAATGGCGACCATCTGGTAGAATAATCCAATGAAAACCCCAAACAAGGGAGATTGTTCCTTTTCTGGTCAATGGCGATTTTAGGGAAACTTTTGGAAAGCACCTTAAGCTTTTCCAAAAGTTGCTGCTTGTCTGAGAACCTTATTATTCATTTTTGAATGGAATTCTGAAGAATAAGGTAGAACTCAGCATCATTATTGTCCCACTGCAGAACGAGTTAGCAAAAGTCAGCTTGATAGAATCAGCCGTATTAATGTAAAACTTCACATAAATTACAAGTAACACTTTATCGAAGTTAACTGCTTCTATTCTACAATGTATTTCCAAAAGTAGGTATGCCATAACCATACCATAATACATTCATCACTGTGCTCGGGGGAAAAAAATGAACACATTTGATATTAATGCTTTTGTAAGTAAATTGAGTTGCATATATAGCATTTATTGTATTTAATATTTGAGCTTTCTGAGCTAGGTAAAGAGCTGCCCCGAATTGTCTAAAGGTGTATTACATCACACACTAGGGTATCAGACTACAATAAAAAACATCTGAACATAACCCTACCTCCCCCTAACCACATTTTGTTAGTACACGTGGAAAAGAAGACACGGGGATGTGTGTCTACCAGTACCACAAGAGTGGTATGTCATAAATTCAGCAGGCATTTACAAAACAAAATCAAAAGGATCCCTTGTGGAATTCATTCATTTATTCTTCTGCAAAAGCAAGGAATCAAAAGATCCCTAGCACCGGGGCCTCTGTTACCCAGTGTGCATAAGGAGGTATAGGCACATAATTTTCCTGCAGGATGAACATCTTTCACCAACTACAAAATATTTTCCCTTATTAGAAAGGTTGGAACTCACACATCCCCACATGGGCAAGTCAATCAAGACTGCTTGTACGACAGCTGGGCAAATTTTAAGGAGTTTATTTCTACAACTCATTTTTATTAAAAATTTTATGAAAAAGCAAATTCTATAAATAGTATAAAGAGAAAAACAATAAGGGCTCCATAAGTCTGAAGCAAATTGTCTCAAACATCTGTATACAAAGTGAAGATGCTCAGTAGCCTAGGTAAAAAAAAAAAAAAAATACCACAGTAAACCAACCCAAATCTCCCTAATCCCAGATATTGACTGTTAATAATTAACAGGGGGCTGGGGAGGGTTTGGTCCAACACTTCAGTGCCTTCGATAACAAACCGTCCTCTACTCTGTTCTCTCAGCCCTATCAACCGCACCTGCAACCACGGGAAAACTCTCTTGGGCCTGGTGCAGTTGGAGGTAGGCCTCCTCCTAGCCATTCCTCCTTGGAGAGCTCCTGGCACCATGCTGCCAATAACGACATCACTGAACACATCAGCCACACAGCTGGAAGCCCCAGTTCACTGGCACATGAGATCGCTTGATCCGAAGTCTTGGAGGGAAAGTGAACCATTTGTCACCATATTAATTTTCTCAGCTTTGGCAGGAAACTGTTGGAAGTAGGGGATATGGAATTTAACTGCAGGCTTGCGGGTGGGGGTTTACATTCAACTGCCTGGAAGCATAAAAAATGCAGCTCTTCCATGTCCTCGGATGGATCTGGAAATACAGAATTACCCAAAATATGTCTTTTAGAAAGAGAGAGAGAGGATCAAGATGGAGGGGATTATAGTCTTTTCCCAAGCACACGATGGAGAAATAGGCCTAAGTCTTCCAAGGGGTCCCTGCGCAGCCTGCACCATTCCTCAGCCTGTCAGCCCAGGCGAGCAGGGGCGGTCCAGGCTAAGGAAGAGGGGCTGCCTGCTAGTCCTACAAGTCCCATAAAGAGGAAATATCCTGTCCATAGGCATGCATAGTTAGGTATATTGGTTTCACCCCCATCTCTTTGAAAAAAGAAGGAAAAAAAAAAAAAGGAATTTGCTTTCGCCGCTGATTTACTTGCACCTTGGTTTGAACACTTGCCGCGGTAGGAGTCTCCTCCGCCCAATTACGGCCAATCTCCCCTTCCCAGCCACCCGGATCCAGAGGATTCAAACCGGAGGGGTCATGCACACAGACGGTCACTCCGTTAGGATGGAGATGACATCCCCGGGGATGGAGACACACAAACAAAAGGGGCGGTGGACTAGTTACTGGGTGACTTTTCTACTCCAGGAAAGGGGTCTTCTTCGGGGGAGGGGGGAGGAAGAAGATTCATTATGGCTTTTGGATGGAAGCGCCGGGGCTCCTCCCCCTTCCCCGCCCCGGGAAGCAGGGGATGGGGGGGTGGGGTCCCAGGGGCGCCCCGCTCACGGCGTGACCTTGGGGCCCGGGTAGGGCTCGCCCTCGCACCAGAAGTCGGCCGCCTGGGGCGTCTCCAGCAGCCACACCTCCCGGGGCACCGGCAGCGGCGCGGCCGGCCCGCAGCCGAGGCCGGCGTCGGGGGGCCCGGCCGGCGCGGCGGCCTCCAGCAGCCGGTAGTAGTGGCAGTCTCGGCCGTCGTCCGGGTCGTAGGGCGGGGCGAGGATGTCCAGAAAGGCGGCCGGCCCGTCCACGGCGTCGATCTGGTGCAGGTTGTCTCGGTGCGGGCTGAGCAGGCACGGCGCGCTGGCCTCCGTGTACTCGGCGCGGGAGCGCAGCAGGGCCCGGCGCACCACGGCGCGCTGGCCGGGCCGCAGCGGGGGCTCGAAGCGGGGCGGGGCGGCGGGGGCCTGCTGCGGCGGCGGCGGATGCGGCTGCGGCTGCGGGCCCTCCCGCGGCGCCCCCGGGCCCTCCCCCGGCAGCGGGTCCAGGCAGCTGATGCGCAGCGTGCCGTAGAGCACCTTGAGCACGCCGTGCATGCCCGGGTGGTCGTGCAGCGGGATGGACGTGCCGCTCTTGAGCAGGAACACGCCCAGGCTGAACTCGGCCGTCTCGCAGATGTGCATGTAGGTGACGGGCGGCAGGTGCGGCGGCCGCGCCGGCGGGGGCGAGGGCAGCGCGGCCCGCCGCGGGCTGATGTTCAGGTCCTCGGCGCGGAGCTGGCTCAGCAGCTGCTGCAGCTGCTGCAGGTTCTCGGGGAAGCCCGCCTCGGGCGCCCCGCCCCCGCCCCCGCCGCGGCGGAAGGTCAGCCGCGCCTGCCGGGCGATGCGCTGGATCAGCGTGGCCATGTTGTCCCGCGGCATGCCGCCGCCCGGGCCCGCCGGCCGGCCGAGCCGCCGCCTCCGCCGCCGCAGCAGCCTGCGCGCGCCGCGACGGCCTCAATGGCTCCCACGCGCGCGCCGCCGCGCACGCGCAGCAGGCCCCCCCGAGCCGCGGGGGAGGGGCGAGCGGGCACCGGGCGAAGGAGCGGGGTGGGGGTCGGGGGCGGGGGTCGGGGGGGGGGCGAGCGGGTCCTCCCTTTCACCTCGCTCCCGTTACTCCATTCATGCCGCCCCGGGGCCAGCGGACTCGGGCCGACCCCTAGATGCGTGTGCCTGCCCCGCGGCGCCTGCTGGGACTTGTAGTTCTTCGCCCCCCCCCGCCCCTCACCGAGCGCGGACTTGGAGGAGAAGCCCCAGAGCGCTCGGTCCGCGAGCGGGCCCGCTCCTCGCCGAAGACGGGGGAGAGAGACTACAACTCCCGGTTCGCCCCGCGCGGCGCCGGCAGACACGCGCTTCCGGCGGGAGGCTGGGTGAGACGGCGCGGGGGTGGCCGGGAAAAGAAAAAGGCCGGAGGGTGAGTGACCTCCTGACGCTGGTTGTAGACTGCCCCAGGGTCACCTCCGCTCCGGGAACTTGTGGGAGGCTTCCAGGCATGGGAGTAGGGATGGAGCAGAAGGGCGGGGCACCCGCCCCTGGTCTCACTGGTCACTTCTTTCAACCGAGGCCCTACTGACTGGACAATCCATCCACAAATTTTTAATTATACTTTATTTTAACAATCCCCTTCAAAAATGTTGAGTTCCAAAATCTCTCCCTCCAGCCCCTCCCCCTCCCACTGGGGGGACAAGCCAGGCAACATCAATTATACGCGTCTTCGAGGATTTAGTAATCGCCTCCTGTATGCCGGGTGCGATGACCTCCACCCCAGCCCCCAAGGAGCTTACATTCTAGTTTGGCGGTAAGCGCCTGTCACAGCTCTAAGCTCTGGGGGGTGCAAAGAGCAAACTGCCTGCCCACAGGGAGCTGCCAGTCTGCCCCCAGGCAGCGGTGTGCAGAGTCCTGGGCTCTCGGGGTGGGCTTGAGAGTCTGGTCGGCCGGCATTTATTAGTCACTTCCTGTATGCCAGGCACTGTGTGGAGAGCCTGGGAGGACGCCAGGGATTGTGAGGCCCAGGGCAGGTGGGTGGGGGTGGGGGGGCCGAGCTCCTGGGCAGAGCCCCTCTCTTTACAGGTGAGTGGCCGAGGCCCAGGGGTGCACCCGGTTTGTCCGAAGACACCAAAGGTGGTAGCAGAGCCAGTGGGGATGTTTGCACCCCAGGATATCAGACTCCCAAGCCCCTTGGCACTGATCTAGTCGGAATCCAGACTCTTAACCTGTGTGATCTTGGATAAACCACCTTCCCTTTTGGGGGTCTTGGGGTTTCTCGCCTGTAAAAATAAGGCAGTTGAATTTGATAATCTCAGAGGTTCTTTACTGCCCTCAGTTTTATGATCCAGAATCAGTGCTCCCCTCTCTGCCTCGGCCCCACCAATTCTCTGCTTCCTCCGCCTGCCTCCCACCCAGCCCCCTAGATTTGGTAGCTCCTTTGTCCTAGAGCTGGAAAGTTTCTAGTCCAACACCTTTTAAAGAATAGCCAACGGGCCCAGAAAGAAGGAATGTTTGCACAGGGTGGCACAACAATGTTGAGACCGGACTTGAATTCCAGTCTTCTCATTCCCTTGCCAGCCCTCTTTCCAATAAACCCTGCTGCCTTTATTAGAGAATGATAGATTTATGATACATTATTACACATTCAGACCCAGTTTTCCTTGTGATCAAAGGCAAATAGGAGTAGGGTGCACTGGGACAGAAATCCGAATTGTACCCTACAGGGATCAAACCCATGACCTCATTAATCCTGTGCCATGATCAAGTGGCTCAATCTACCACAAGTGGCCTTCCATTAATGTAGTTGCTTGGTTATTCATAGTCACATGAACTTTGTTAACTGACTACAACCCCAACAACACTCCTCAGTTAAATAATTTAAAATAAAAGCATTTATTGAGTTTACAGAGCTCCATGCTAGGCCCTTTGGAGGGGGGAGCGGGGAGGGAAGGAGGGGGTTGGGAGTATAAAGATGAGTGGACATCCTTGCCTTCAAAGAATTTACCATCTAATAGAGCAGTTAAAACACACTCAAGTAACCTAACATAGGGAGATAAGAGGAGGCCTAAGAGAGGCATAAAGTTCTAAGATAATCCAGAGGAGAGAGGGAAAGATGGCTTCTGCTAGGTGGGAAAAGATGGTATTGCAGTTGCTGGCCTTTAAAGGATGGGAAGAGTTGCAGGAAAGGATCTCAGAGTTTCCTTTCTAACTATACATCAGTGCAGTGGTTTGAGAAGTTCAAATGTGTTTGAGTTCAGAAAAACCTGGGAGGACTTATATGAACTGATGCATACTGAACTGAGCAGAGCCAGGAGATCATCGTATACAGTAACAGCAATACTGTATGATGATCAGCTGTGAATGACCTAACTGTTCTTAGCAATGCAGTGATCCAAGACAGTTCTGAAGGACTTAGGATGAAAAATGCCATCGACCTCCAGACAAAGAACCGATGGAGTCTGGATGCAGATTGAAGCAGACTTTTTCTGTAACTTTCTTTTCATTTTTGGGTCCGTGTTCTCTTTTGTAACATGACTGATATGGAAACAGTTTGCATGACTGCACACTTAGACTCCATATCAAAGTGTTTTTCTTCTCAAGGTTGGAGGGGGATGGAATTTGGAGCTCAAAAATTATTTTAAAAATAGTTTTTTAAATATGTAATTAAAAAATAAAAACATTCTAGAAAAATGTGTTTGAGAAGTGTTGAACAGTCCCGGCGTAGAAGGTAAGAAGGCTACAGGGAAACTGTGAAAGGCAAAAGGAGGAAGTATTCAGTGGTGTAAAGTGGAGTAGCCGGGTCCAGAAGGCTGAGGATTAAGGCAGAGGTCATTGGAAAGCTTCAGTCAGAGTGATGGGGGTGGGAGGGGGTTCAGAGATCAAACTGTAAAGAGCCAGGAATGAGCGAGTGAGTGGCTTGTGAAGGCACTGTCTGTCTGTCTGTCTTTTTTTTTTTTTTTTTTTTTAAGAACTCAAAGGATAGAGAGATGGACTGGGTAGTTGAGAGGAGCAGCAGGGTTTAGGGAAGCTTTCTTTGAGATTAGTTGAGTAGGTGTATCTTTTGAACCCAGTAGAGTCCTCTCTGTCTTTGGGGAATGAATTCTAGAGGTCAAATCCTGTGAAAACACATGTGCCTTTCTGTATGTAAACCACATCTGAAAAATGCATGTTTATTACCCAGGTCACTTGGAGGAAGTGCTCTACGAAGACCCCCTTTACCAAAGCGTTTGGGTGCTAGGTTCTTAATTCGAGGTCGCTTCGTTAAATCAGCATGGAGCTGAAAAGTTGCTAGCCGGGGGAGTCGTTTTAATAAATGCACTAGTATGTTCAATAAAGCCCTAAGATGACAAATCCCTTTACAAAATGAATACTCTTATAAAGAAAAAGAATAACCTCTCCATCTGTTTTACCCGTTTGAAAAATTCATCGGGCAGACATTTATTTATTGTCTCCTTTGCACTGCACGCTGCTGCCCTGAGATGTGGAGAGAGGTAGCAGGAGAAATAAGGAGCAGTCTGGCCTCAGGCAGCTTCTCCTTTCATTGCCCTGGGGTCTGCTAGGTTTGTTTGGCTTACAGTGGGGCGTTCTCACAAACAACAGCCTGCTTAAACGGTACTTAGTCCAGCTTGGTAATGGATTTTGACTAATTTCGTTTACTCCAACAAACGTTTATTTCTGGTGCACCTTTCCTGAAGCCAAACCCTGCCTTCAGGGTATGGAGAAAATGAGAATTTGAGATACTTTTTCTCTTCCATTGACACTGCTTTCCCCTTCTCTCTCCTTGGTCATTCATGAATATTTCCGGACTGTCGGGCTATGGAACGTGTGAAAGGGTTTCACAGTAAAACAGAACAAGCTACAGAATACTGGGGGTTGCTTCTCTCAGCACCTGCCCCGACATAACTGACCCCTAGGGAAACAGGAAACCCTTCACAGAACCTGGATCACGGTGGGGCTTCCTTTGCAGATGGAGTGGGCTGGTATTACTACAGATTTCCTCCTCACTCCAGCCTCCACCAAGTTCAGCTGCTGCTGAGTAGGAGGGAACCCTAGGAATGTTCTGGAAAGGGAAGAAGAAGACAAGGAAGAGATTACTAGAGTCAGGAAAACACACAGTGGGAAAACCACGGAGGGAAGAGATGAGAACAGACAGCTGTGCCCTATTCCTTCTGAAATCTTTTATTCCTATAAACTATATTTATTCCCCCTACATTTTCTATTTCACAAGGTGACAGTTATATGGTGATAGGTAATACTGATAGAAATTAATCCTACCTCCCGCCCACGTTGAGGGATTACATTGAGCAGTGGGGGAAGCACATGAGAAAAGCTGAGATTTTCTTATAGTTGCTTAATTATCTGGGAACTGGGGAGGACTGGAATAGCCCCCTGCCTACATCTCTTTTCTCACCTCCACCTACTCTCTTATGTGCTCTTCATTCTTTACAAGATTATCGTCTAGCTTCTTTCCTCCATCCTTTTACCCTGGCCCCGCCTTTTCTTATTGCAGGCTAATTTTCCTCTTTTCACCAGGCAAGCTGCTAACTTGTTCAAATCCTTCCTTAAAATTCATTTGATCTAGCAAGCTCTTCTGGGAACACCAAGTTATCCATAAACCGATTACAAGTGGATTGACGTTTGTGAACTCTTACCAGTATGTGATTTTTTTTCCTTCCTTTTCAGTGAGAGAGAAGGTTCCAATTTTCTCACCTTTAGATTCCTTGGGAATCCTCATGTGCCAAGGCCCAGTCAGCTTTGCTCTGGCTGACTTTTTTTTTTTTTTATAGTGGAATGGAACACAGATAAAAGAGCAGAACCTTTTTTTTTAAGTACTAATTTATAATCAATATTTGTAATAATGAAATGTCATGGTTACAGAAATGCTTTTGCCTGAC